TCCTAGTGGGGACAGTGACAAAGCCTTGAGATTCTAAAAATGTGAATATATCCCTGTAGTTGAGAGGGCCCTGCTATGTCTATCAGATGTGGCCTTCAAGTAGAACCAGGTTCACTTGCTTAAAAGAAGAGAAATTAAAGCAACATTATGATACTTAGGGTCACTCCCCCCCAAAAAAAACAAACAAACATTAACTTAAGGGCAAACATAACACTTCTCCCACTAACCAGACTGACAAGCCCAAAGGAAAAGGATGTGAATTCTCCCCTGGGTCCTATCTAGAGTTTTCACCACCAGCTCTGACCACCCACTATACATACAGGAAACAGTACGAAAGGAACGGTCTCTCATGCTATCTACTACCGAAAGGGAGGCCTCCGAGACTGCCCTGAACTCTGAATATGGTCTACGTGCTGATATTATGGCAAGTCTACAAACGATCTCCCCTAATGCTAGGAAGAGACCTGCTGAACGAGGTTAGCAGAAATTAGGAGACAGTGAATATTCATGGGCAGTGAGGAGCAGTGATTCAGATGCTTTGGGAGATTGAGAGACATTATAAAGTATGGTACAGTCAGCACACTTGTTCCAACAAGTTATCACTATGGTGGTACTACCTGAGGTACTCAAGGACTCCCAGTTAGAGCTATGGATTCCAGTGGTGCCCAGTGGGAAGCTTTATTTCACATTGCCCATCTACCTAAGCATATACAACGCAAGAGACGTACAGATAACCACCAAGTACGTGTCATGGATCAACCAGACTAGTGCAAATCACTGTCAATGCTGGTTATCATAACTGGATTCCCTAGGGCAGGTTCCCACATATGCTGACTGAATTAGTAGCAAAAGTGGACTTTAAAACGGATTTTAGGTAAGGCTGATAAATGCATGACCAGACCTAAAATTGAAATGTCTCTGATAATAATGAAACACAAGCCAGTGCATTTGCCTGGCAAATTCCGGCTTCCCCGGCCTTGACCAAAAGTCAGAATCCACCTTGGAAGAATGCACAATAGAACTCCCGTGAATCAGCTCAAAGAACTTAATACCTGTTGCAATTTTCTCCAATTTAGTATATGAAATAATAACATGGAGAGCAATTACCATAAAGAAAAACTTCAGGTGCAACAGCATTAGTTCAACAGCTGGGATCAAGTGTCAGCCCAGAATAACAAATTTCATTCATTTTATCTCCAGCACTGGAGACATGCTGCTACTAGCTTTAATAGTCAGGAATGTCTGTTGGCTAAATGACTCTGCAGAGCTAGTCAAGTGAGGGCAGCCTGCGACAGTTTAATTGGCTGCTCACTATAACTCTATCTGGGGGCTATAAGCAGTGGACTATAAACAAGCATAAAGATGCAGTCAGTGCTGAGCCGAGCAGCCTGCAGGAGGTGGGGGGAAGGGGAAGGAGCGCTTCTGATGGCAGGATCTCTCATTTACACTGGCGTCAGGTTGGCTACAGGTGAACCGAAGCAATGTACCCCGCTGCAGCAGAAGAAAGGCGGGGTTAAGAGAGCAATCATTTATCTTGTATTGATTTCTGGACACTGTGTCCTAGATCCATTCCAAGATAGAATGACAGTTTTTGGTTTTGTGCTTGCAAGAGACAAAAATGACTCGCACCAGTCCCACTGTTTTCTGATCATATTTCCTTTAGAAACACGCCACCCATAGATTTTTTTTTCAGACAGGGAAATCCAAACAAGTTTATCACTGAAAAAGAGGGTTAGGGGCTGGTTAATCAACTATTTCTCTTTGCTGCTCTGGATCTGGGAGTCAAGGGGTCAGAACCAAGCACAATTGGGCCCTTTGGTTTTATCTCAGGTAACCCCCATCTCTGGTAATTGAACCCATTCCTTGTGGTCAGAGTTCCTGTCACTCATATTCAATGTCTGTCATTACTGGGAAACGCTTCATGTCATATTACACTGACAGAACCACTACAGCAAGGCTAGAAAGATTCCCCCAGCACCAGAGGTAAGACAATGGGAGCCTCTTTCAGACCAGTGCTGTTTAACATTTTATGTGCTGACACTGTGTCTGTAAGCATGATATAATGAAAGTCTGGTAAATGGGAGATAAAAATTCATTCTTTCCCTCCTTTGGGGGCTGCCAGGCAATATCAGAAATAAAACAAGTTGGCAGCTCTGGCGATACCACTGCACCAGTGCCACGGCAGGCATTCTCTAAGTGCAGTCCGTGGGTTCAGACACGGCCACGCTCACAGGCGTGTGGCGTGAGTAGGAAACTCACTTTTCCCCTGGCAGGGCGTGGGTCATTGTCACAGGGCTGCTGACTGCGGAAATCCAACTCTTCCGTGAACACACACCCAAAGAATGACTCTGTCGTTCTGTTCGGAAGGGGAAGAGGGTGTCCCAACCAGGTGCTAAAAAGTTCAAAATCCAGTCTTGAGTGAGCATCAAAGGCTCCTCATTTTCAAGGTCTTCACCCTACTTTTCCAGCTTTACCTTCTGCCATTTCTTCCCCAGCAGTTTGCACAGAAGTCTCCATGCTATTCATTCCCTATCACATCTTACACTTTCATGCCCCTGGGCCTTTGCAGACATCCATTCCACTTGGATGCCTTTCCTCCTTCAGGGCAATGCCTCACATGCTGCCTGCTCTATAGATGGGACTTAGGTGCCCCTCAGCTGTTCACTGTTTTCTTAGTGGCTAAGAGCTTGGGCTCTGGAATTAGATGGGGATAGTCAATCCTGGTTCTGTCGCTTAGGCAAATTTTTAAACTGTCTGTGCCTCAGTTTCCCCAACAGTAAAATAGGGTTAATAATAGTGTTTACCTCACATGGTGGTTATGGGGATTAAATAAGATAGCCTGTAGTAACAGTTTTAATGGTTACATGGTTACCATTATACAGATGATGGTTACAGGTTATAAAACGGTGTCCTGAACAAAGCAAACACTCAATAAATGCCAGCTTTAATGACAATTAGTGATATTACTGCTACTGGTATTCTCAAAGCACTCTGTTTCTATTAGTAATATGATATTTCACTTTTCCTTGCTTTATAGTGGCTGGTGTCCACTGCTCTCTTCCCCTTAGCATAGAGCTGTGAGCATCAGGAACACCTGGGAATTTGTTAGTAGTACAAACTCCCAGGCCCTGTACAGGAAAGGCCAGCAATCTGTATTTAACAAGCCCTCCAAGAGATTCTGGTGCTAAAGTTTGAAAACCACTGGCATACAGCGGGGCTCTGGAACCAGACTTCCTGCTTTGGAATCCCAGATCCTTTGCTTCTTAGCCCTGTGCCTCTGGGAATGTTACTTCTTTTTGCCTCAGTTTCCTCCTCTTAAAAATAAGGATAATAAAATATCTACCACTGTAATAGCTGATTTAACTTATATAAAGCACTTCAAAATTGCCTGGCACAGAGAAGCGATCAGCAAGGGCTATTGCTGCTGTTGAGTGTCGTCAAGTCGATTCTGACTCAGAGCGATCCCGTGTGACAGAGCAGAAGGGCCCCACAGGGTTTTCTAGGTTGCAATCTTTATGGGAGCAGATCACCAGGTCTTTCTCCTGAAGAGCTGCTGAGTGGGTTCTCACCTTTTGGTTAGCAGCTGAGCACTTAACCACTGTGCCACCGGAATAGGGCTAGCTAATACAATTATTTAGAATTAAACGAGTTAATAATGCATGTAAAGCACTTGGACACTTTAGCAAGTGTTCAATAAGAGTTATTATTATTATTATTACTCAACTGATTTTAAGCCTTCTAGGGGAGAGACCCTCTCTTTTTCATCTCTGGAACCCCTTGGAGTTTAGCCCCCAAGGGTGCATTAAGCAGGCACTTCGAACAAGGTTTGCTACCTGGAACCTTGTGGCACATCTGGGGGCCTAGGAGCCAGGCTAGGTATTTATTTGGGGTTAGGGCTCTGTTTGCTGGAAGGCAGAGAAACAAGACAATTCACTTTGGCTTCGGCAGCCTTCCTGAGGCCACCAGCCTGTGGGCCAAATGTCTTCTGCACAGATCTCTCCTCCTCAGTTCCGAGGCTGCTTTCACTAAAGGTCACACCCCCTAAGCCTAGTAACTTTGGATTTAAAAATCATCTTGACTTGATATTTTACGGGGAACATGGCAGGCTTAGTGAGTTTAATCTCTCTCTCCCTTTTATACACTGGGGGTGGGACACCTTTTAACCTATCTGACAAAGCTTTAAAAAAGCCTCTGCTCAGAAACTGACTGAGCCTGAAGCAGAATGTAAAGGCGGGCAGCTAGTTTCAATGCTGGAGGGAGCGATCCTACAAAGGGTTAGTCACTCAGCACTCCGCTAGCATAAACCAAACTGTATTCACAAGTTCACCTCCTTTTATACTCCTCGCAGACAAAATCAAAATCCGTGAGGAAAAGAAAGAGCTATCCAGGCAGTAGCTGGGCTTCTCTGAATGCTCTCACTGATCGCTTACAATTGCTAGGTGTACACAATACCAAGAGCATTAAAAGCAGGATTTTGCGGCCAAGGAATGAACTAACCTACTTGGGAAAAGTTCCCAATTTAGACAAGTGCCAGGACCACAATAAATAGTCAATAAATGGTAGGTGTTATTTTATTAGATGAAACCATGTTCCTATGTGTAGTATAAATAAGACTCACATAGCTCGCCACCAGTCAAAACTATAAATACTAAGTCCACGAGTGTCTACTGTTCATCCCATTAAAGATCAGATTCTCCTAAACACATAATCATAAATTACCCACCATTAGCAGTTAGCAGGAGGTAGGCTCTAAATGTCTAAACAGGCATCCCTACCACCCTGATAGCAAAAGGAAGGCATGTTCTACCTATTTTTTAAATATTATTCAAATCTAATGAATAAATTAACAAACCCTAATAGCAAAATGGAAACCCTGGTGGTGCAGTCTGCTTACCAAAAGGCTGGTAGTTCGAATCCACCAGATGCTCCTTGGAAACCCTACAGGGCAGTTCTACTCTGTTCTATAGGGTCGCTATAAGTTGGAATAGACATGACGGCAATGGGTTTGGTTTGCTTTTTGGTTTAATAGCAAAAGGAATACACTGTTTATTTTTTTAAAGCTACAATGAAATCTAATGAATAAGTAAATCCCATGTTTTGATGATCACTTCTACTATCATTCCTCGTAACACCAGGTACATTTGATTTTAGTTTTTTCCTAACTTTTGGTAGTAGAAATTTAGGCGAGAACAAAACTGAATAAGCTATCTTTTGCTCCGTGGGAGCAACATCAGGTAAAGCCAGTTAACAGGGAGAGAAGTGGAAATTATACTGGTATAAAAATAATTCATGTTCTTCTCCAAAGGCATTATCACTATCAAACTGGACAAATAATAGGTCAAATACAGCACCAGCAATTGGGCCAGAAATTCTATTCCCACTAGTACTCTAGAGCAGCCTCAGCTATTGCCTAGATCCCCACACAGTCCAATCAATGGTAACCATTTTGTAGAGCCCTACAATGAACCAAGAGGGATTTCAGACAGGACAGTTTCAGATCTCAAAGCTCTGCACTCTGAAGAACAAAAATGAATGATATTCACCAAGGAAGTGGGAAAATAGTATTGCAAAGATGTTTCCAATGCTGAAATATTACATTGCCAAATGCTCCTGTCAAACCGTGGTTTAATTACCTTGGCCCCCATGCCTCTTATAATCACCTGTCATTAGCAACAATGCTCGCATCTGTTTACACGTCTGTCAGAAGTACCAGCCCAGCTGAAGCCTCGGGGGAAAAGAGGTCACCTTAAAGTTGATCTATCTACACCCGGGGCCATCCTTCAAAAGACAATCTAAGGAAAGGACCTCTGAAGCAAATATCTAAATATCACAGAAGTTTTAAAAAGGGTTGTTTAGGGATTGAAAGACCAAAGAGGAAAATGTTGGTATTTCATGGCTATATTACACCTCCTTTTATGGCATTTCTGCTTGTCTCCATGCAACACACTTGTAATGATGTGCTCTATATTCCAATGTCTTCAGGGTCTTTTCACCCAGATGCCCTCCTCTAATGTGCAAGGTCACACCCGGCACCTACCTCTTCCATGAATTCTCCTTTCTTCCTTGCAGCTGGCTCCAGAGACTAGTATGCCTTCCTTGCCACGTAGGAGCTGCCAATACCTATTCCATTTGAGAGGATTTTTTCCCAAAGATTCGCTTCACAACGGACCACAATCTCCCTAGAGTCCCTTTTCTTCCTCATACCCCTAAAAACAGACACACAAATCCTTTTTGTTTTGACACTTTAGCACATCAACAGCAAGAGAGAGAGAGAATATATCATAGGAATATTCAAAAGCCTAAAACATTTTTAGCTAGTGGTCAGTGATTTTTAGGTTTTGATTCCCATCTAAGATGTTAAACGGGTCTGAGCTGAAGTTTTGCCAATAACTATCTTTATTTAACTTTCTGTGAATTCAGTCTTACCATCTATAAAATGGGGTTAATAACACCAACCTTCCTATCATCACTGTAAGGAATCAACAGGAAATTACACTCGAAGCATCAATGTATAGTAGAAGCTCAATCTACTTTGAGCTCCATTTTGATTTCCTCTTCTTTCCATAAAAACTTTCCCAACTCACAATGACTACTTATTTCAAAGAGCTTATTAATTACTAAGGGCATTTATCTCACAATCACTTATGTCCACTTTCCAACAACTAAAGTATAAACTTGAGTAAGAGAACTGTGTTTTCCTCAGCACCTAACCCACCACTCGTCACACAGTAGAAGCTTTTGAAATATTCTGTAAATGGAATTTGGATTCATTTTCCATACTGACTCAACAAATACGACAATGACTAAGATCCTGGCCCCAACCCTAAGATCTGCCCACTCTTGCCTCTCTCACCCCATCTCACTCCACTTTCCCCTCAGTCATGAAGCAATGGTTGGTTCCTTTTCCTCCTTCTCACTTTAGCTCAAATGACACTTCCTCCGAAATCCCTTCGGCATCTTGCCTAAAAACCTCCATGTCCCTCCCCAGTTACCCACCTGTTTCCTTTTCTTAGTAGTACTTTATCATTACAGGAGTCCTGTGTTGCAACTGTAAGTGCTCGTCTGCTAACCACAAGGCTGGCAGTTGGACTCCACCCAGAAGCTCTGTGGGAGAAAGACCTGGCAATCTGCTCTTGTAAAGATTACAGCCTAGAAAACTCTATGGGGCAGTTCTACTCTGTCACATAGGGTTACTATGAGTTGAAATAAACTCAACAGCACCTAGCAACAACTACTTAATCATTATCTGACATTATCTTATTTCTTCGCTTACTTGTTTTTTATTCTGTCTCCTGACACTAGACCATAAGCTCCCAGCACAAGAAACAGGCCATGTTTTTTGTTCAGCCTTGGATCCCCAGTGCCAGGCACACAGTAAGTGTTCAATAAATATTTGCTGGGTGAATGGTACTTTGCTTTCTTCTTAACTAACCATCTTCATGTTGTTGGATAGTCAGACACAAACTAAGGACCCAAATGATTAATGCCAGACTCTGTTTCCAATTGCAGTAATGTTTAAAGAGATACTTTACAGCATAAAACACCCCAGAGTTGGTCAAATGCTAATGGAAACATAAGTCACTTTTTTACTAGTCCTATTAGAGAAGCAACAACTTGGGTGAAGTTTTTTTTTGCCCTAAAAAAGAGGCCTACCAAGGACTCAGAATGAATCAGGTCTTCACAAAGCATCTCTTCTTTCACCAATCCCATCTCTGTTACCCTAAATCAGCCTCTCACTCTCATTCCTACTCCACTTGGGCTCCTTAAATATAGTTACTGTTAGGTGCCGTGGAGTCGGTTCCAACTCACAGCGACCTTATGTATAACAGAACTAAACACTGCCCGGTCCTGCGCCATCCTCCCAATTGTTGCTACGTTTGAGCCTGTTGTTGCAGCCCCAGTCAGCTCATCTCATTGAGGGCCCTCCTGTTTTCAGCTGACCATCTGCTTCACCAAGCACCTTAAATATTAACCCCATCTTCTCCTTGGGTCCCCTAACACTGGGAAGCTTGCTTGACCGTCGCCTCTGCTGCCATCTTTCCTGGCGCTATCGTGAAGGCTGATGAGAGGTCGAGGTAAGAACAGTACCCAGCTAAAACACTTAATTTTACTCCAAGCCCTGAAACGGCAAGGATTTCACCCCTCTGTCTACCCTGATCCACAGCAGGCCCTTCCCGAACGCACGCCCTCTCTAGAATTCTGCACTTAATTTTTAGGTCAGCCTGCTTTCCTGGTTGTGCAGTGGCTAAGCGTTCAGCTGCTAACCAAAAGGTCAGAAGTTCGAGTCCACCAGCCACTCCCTGGAAGCCTTATGGGGCAGTTCTACTCTGTCCCATAGCGTTGCTATGAGTCGGAATCGACTCAACGGCAATGGGTTTGGTTTGGGTTTTACTTCCCTTTCATCTTTTTTTTTTTTGTCTGTGACTTTAACCTTTATTGATCAGTAGGTTCAATGATAATCATCTCATTAACCCAAGTTTCAGGGCTGGTCAAGGTACATCACCTTACCTGAACTGAGAAGATAATACTATTGTTTCTGCTCTAGGAAACGATTCAAAACCCTCTGAACCCTGAGGTAGGTAGGTTTAGGTCAAAAGATCATGCCTCCTTTCTAATGAAAGACCCGTCCACAGGCTGGCACGTTTCTAACATGTCCCTTAAAATAAGATTATTTCTTTGTCCCATCAGAGAAATCAGAGAGAACACTGAATTTGCCTTGGTGGTGATTTCAACGATTCTACTTGCTAGCTCCTCACTCTTAAGATTGCTGTTAAGTAGATCCATTTTCCCCTTAACTACTTTTGTCTCTTTTACATTACAAAATGAGGAGAGAAAACTGACCTTCCCTCAAACGTACCAGCAATCTGTGGACATCCCTTTCTTGCCGAGCATGAGAGCCGGCTCCTGGGCACTGCCTTCTAGGTGCACGTTGGCCTTTGTTAGTAAGTTGGAAGATGTGGGTGAAGAAAAAACGCCACTGTTTTACAGATGCACAATGCGGGCAGCTACTAAACAGTATTTTACTAGTTCAGCATGGTAAAAGAAATCAGCCATAGCTGGCACCACCACACATTGTTTCAGAAAAATGCACTGTGGAGAATTGACACTGTGCCTATAATTGTAAAAGATTTGCTCATTTAAACCAACCGGCAGCATTTTCTGCCACATAATGGAGAAAGTCACAGGATGCTGGGCCCCCTCATGGCTTCTGTGGCTATAAAAGCCCCTTCATGTTGGCTTTTTATACTTGGTAAATTAATAGTTTACTGTTCCAAGATTCCTACGTGTTTATATTATTGCTTTTCTAACATAAAAGTTTGCAGTTGTTATGGAAACATTTGGTAACATTTGCTGCTAAATTTTAAATGCATTTTCTACCCCTGTTACACACCTGAAATGAAGCCAAAAACTCTCTTTGCTTTACATTAGAGTGAAATTCAAACTGGTCTGGGTGACTATAAATGGTTACTGTTTGTCTTGGCTCCTACCTGTATCAGATTTAGACTGAGGAATCTTAGGGAAGAAATTACATGGGATAAAATGGATATTTCTAAATTACAAGGCCTGCAATCCTAGTGGCTCCAAATATCAGCTTTCTGTTTCATCTCAGCTTGCCAGAAAGAAAATGGTGGGGCTGGACAATAAAGATCAACAACCTTTCTTCTCCAGAGGCAAATGCTTCTTGTTTTGATGATACTGGAGAAGGAGGTTGCAGATCCTGATCAGTTAAGTCTTGTTAGCAAATTAAATGGTTGTAGACCACAACAGTGCAAGACATGAGTTTTAGCCCCTGGCTTCAAACTGAAATGATAAAAGTATAAATTCTCTCAACCCCTTTTGTTCTGCAATTTCCCTCTTTGAGCACCTCATGATTCTCAGGTAACTGTTCATGATGACCCCGGACCCATGGGGAGGTTGGCCTGGAAGCCTGCATTGGAAGGGTTTTCTAAGTGGCCAAATTACCCACGTCTCCATAATTTAATACCTCACCCAAGTCAAGTTTCCTTGTGCAATGTAACTTGTCAAAAATACTACTTAAGAAAACTAGGCACTTTGGATCAGAGAAACATCAGATAAGAAAGACATTTTCTTGGGGCTTTAAATCCACATAAACCAAGTCACAGAAGAATTTCAAATGGGTGCATTTGGTTCTTGCTCTGGTATCTGGAGCCCTGGTGGCGCAGTGGTTAAGAGCTCGGCTGCTAGCCAAAAAGGTCAGCAGTTCAAATACCACCACTACTCCTTGGAAACCCTATGCGGCAGTTCTACTCTGTCTCTATAGGGTCTAGGAGACCTAATTTCTGCCTGCATCTCAGTCCTATGGGTTGTGTTCTTCCATTCATTTCAGCAAATTTGTTGAGAGTGAAGATTAATTTCCATAGGTGAACTCTATATCTTTTCTCCCTGAAAATATAACCATGCTATTTGCTAGAGTTTTACTTCAAATTTTCTTAAGAAGTGAGTGTTGTTGCTGTTAGCTGCACAATGGGATCGGATCACTGTGATCCACAGGGTTTTCAGTGGCTGATCTTCAGGAGTAGATCACCAGGCCTTTCCTCCTAGTCCATCCTAGTCTGGAAGCTCCACTGAAATCTGTTCAGCATTACAACAACATGCAAACCTCCACTGACAGACAAGTGGTAGCTTCACTCGAGGTGCGCTGGCTGGGAAGTGAACCCATCTCCTACACGGAAGGCAAGAATTTTGCTACTGACCCACCACCGCCCTCTAGAAGGAAGTGTTACTTATTCCTGGATAGAGGCTGCTATGGCAGTCACTGAAAAGATAAAGTGACCTCTCCCCCAACTTTTTTCCCCATTAATTCAAATAGAGAACTTCAAATTCTAAGTCATCTGTTCAAGTGTACATTCAGGATGCTATCTAAGGAAGCCAAGGGCTCAGAATACAGTCATAGCAGGCCCAATCTATAGCACAGGTTAGAGACTTCACAAAACAGGTTGATCACTACGTTATTTTATGCAGTGTTCCATGTTTCTCCACTGTTGCTTTTCTTCAGGCAGATGGCAGAATTTCTTAATCTATCAAGATGCAAATAATGCAGTGATTAAAAAGAAGACACTAGAACCTCACTGCTTGGGCTCAAATCCTGGCTTAGCTTTTTATAACCTATGTTATCTTGAGTAAATTCCCTAATCTTTCTGGGGCTCAGTTACCTTAACCATAAAATGAAGATAAAAGCAGTACT